ACCAGTGTCTCTGATAAAGGCCTCATTTCTAAAATATATAGAGAACTAAGTCAAATTTATAAGGATACAATTCATTTCAAGTGACAAATGGTCAAAGGATATGAATGGGCAGTTTTCAGATGAAGAAATTAAAGCTATCTATTGTCATATGAAACAATGCTCTAAATCACTATTGATTAGAGAAATGCAAATCAAAACATCTCTGAAGTACCATATCACACCAATCAGATTGGCTAATATAACAAAACAGGAAAATTATAAATGTTGGAGAAGATGTGGGGAAATTGGAATATTAATGCATTGGTGGTGGAGTTGTGAACTGATCCAACCATTTTGGAGAACAATTTGGAACTGTGCCCAAAGGGCTTTAAAACTGTGCATACTATTTGCCCCAGCAATACCACTTCTAGGTCTGTAACCCGAAGACATCACAAAAGTGAGAAAAGGACCCACATGTACAAAAATATTTATAGCAGCTCTTTCTGTGGTGTCCAAGAATTGGAAATAGAGGGGATATCCATCAACTGGGGAATGGCTGAACAAGTTGTGACATATGAATGTAATGGAATACTATTGTGCTATAAGAAATGATGAACAAGCAGATTTCAGAAAAACCTGGAAAGACTTGTATGGACTGATGCTGAGTGAAGTGAGCAGAACCAGGAGAACGTTGTACACAGTAACAGTCACATTATGTGATGACTAACTTTGATGGACTTAGCTCTTCTCAACAATTCAAGGATCTAAGACATACCCAAAAGTCTCATGATGGAAAATGCTATCCACATCCAGAGAAAGAACTATGGAGTTTGAATGAAGATCGAAGCATACTATTTGCTCTTTTTTTCTGTTTTATTTTGTTTCTTCTTTCTTGTGGTTCCTCCTATTGGTTCTAATTCTTCTTTACAACATGACTACTGTAAAAATATATTTGATAAAAGTGTATATGTAGAGCCTATATCAGACTGCAAACCACCTTAAGGAGGGATGTGAGGAGGGAAGCAGAGAGAATTTAAAATTCAAAAGCTTATGGAAATGATTGTTAAAAACTAAAAATAACGAAAAATAAATAAAATAAAGAGGTAGTTATACAAAAAAAAGTGTATTGAAGTCTCAGTGGTTACTTCCCCACTCTGTATTAGGGTACTGAGGCCCCAGAAGTTTGCCAATTACTTCTCTCAGGATTCGAGGGGGTAACTGTGAGGGGTTGGGGATAGTTTCTTCATATTATAACTCATGGTTCCTACTCTCACATTCTCTGTTGATTATCAGTTGACATCAATTAGCCATTCAGAGTTAACTATCATCTAGAAATGAGTATTTATTTAGGTAGTGTACAGTTACATCCCCAGTTGAGAGTGATACATTCTCTTTTGTAACCCTTTTCATACCTATGGAGACTGAGCTCAGTCTTAGAGAGCACATGTGGCAAAGGGTAACTCATGACTCCTGGTGGCTCAAAGTTATTATTTTCTCTTTGTATGGTCCTTGTGAAGCATAACTTCCTATTCAGCTCCGTGTAGGATCCTAAAACAAGCTTCCCATAGTATGTTGAGGTGATCCTTAGCTTTCAATGTGAATTGGTTTTGGAAGTTCAGAATGATTGTCTTATTGCAGAGAGGGCCCAGTTGATATTAGCTAATATACATTTACAGTAGATCCAGTTAGCTTGCTTTTATAATTTCTTCTAACTCCATTCTGTAGCATGTAAGAGTAAAGGGAGGGGGCAGATGGTGGGTGTGTAATCCACTTTCTTAAGTGATATTTTCCTTTCCTCATTGCACCCATTTGGTACTGAGCTGACCCAGAGTCCAGGTCAGAGAAGTCAATCTGCAGCACCCTATTACCAGATGCTACAGTTTGATTTATCAGAGAGTAGCCTTTGGGCAGTGGCTTTGCTTTCTGACTTTCCTGAAGCTGACTCAGAGTCCTCTCTTCTGTTTATGTCTCCTTAGGAAAATCATCTATTTCACCTTGAGTTAATTAACTAAACTTTGGTGTTTTCATGTAGCATTTCTCTATGTAAACAAGAAGATGGATTTATTATTACTTTTTTTTCTCATGGAGCAGGAAGAAGAACATGCTATTCCATGAGCTAAGTGTCTAAGGCTGAAAAAATGGTCTTTGAAAACAATAATCTTCGGGCTTTCATATAGATTATTCATTATCTTCACTGAAGCTGTGTCACTTGCAAACATAATAAGAATAATAAGAGGGATAGGAAATCTACCTGGATGCACTTGGCATGGGGAACTTTTGGATGAGAAACTATTTTTCTAATGTTGCTTGGCACTTTTCATACAATATAGAGTTTTAGACAGTTGTCCAGAGCAGTGAGAGCATAAGTCATTTGTCCAGAGTCACACAGCCACTATGTGTCAGAGATGAGACTTGGACCAGGTCTTTCTGATTCTGAGACCAATTTACTATATGCTACAACATATCGCCTCCCAATGATGATCAAATGATGATGATAATGACAACAATGAGCTATAAATGAATGGAGATTACCAGAGATGCCAGGACTGGCTTCAAAGCACAACCAAACACAAACTTATTTTATGCTAGTGATTCACCCTGTATTCACAGTATACACTAGAGAAAACTAGGCCTTCCATCCCATTGTGTCTCTTTTGTCTCAGAGACTGCCTCCCTCTATACACCTCAGATGTGAACTCAATCAAACTAAGAATCCAAAAGCATCAGAATGAACCACCCTCACTGTGAACAAACAGTAAATGCCACCAGGTGTTTGATTTTTTAAATGGACTATTTTAACTTGAAATTGTCATGTTTCCAAAATTATTAAATTATAACAAAAACAGGAGTTCAAAATAGTATGCATATTTGCATCAACCCAAGATTTCATTTGGTTTAAGTTCTTGGTAATAAAGAAAATCGATCTTGGTTGCAGTGAGCAGTGAGAGAAGGTTATCGAAAAATTGACCTTTCAACAGAGATGACAAAGACCATCTAATGCTGTTGAATCCACTGAAGAATGAAGTAAGGGTAGTTTTCCTGAACTTTTATAATCAGTTTCTTTTTTGGTTTTCCAATGTGTTCGGCTGAGATCAACAACCAAATCTCTGGCCTCATCTTCATTCTTATTTCTTTATTTCATCTCACTTTGGCAATGGCTAATGACTTTAAAAAGTGGAAAGTACCTTAACCTAGGTTCTCTTTTTCTTATTTCAAGGAAACTTGCTGTTGTCATACTTCCCAGGATTCACTGTCATACCTCCTAGGATGCCCAAGCTTCTCTAAGTGGTGGGAACAAAGCAGTTATCAGGGAAAGAACCAGCTGTAAAGAAGGATTTTTGGTCATTTGTGACTGTTATTTATTCATCAGTAACTCTAAGTATGGATAGAAGCTCACTAGTCGTGAAATATGGGTATGCTCTTTAGAAGGTAGAGTCTTACAGATAAGAGTCAATGCCCTAGAAGAACCACAAACAGCTCAGGACTGCACCAAACACAAAATACCCTGTCCAAGGTGTTGATGCTCACAATTCATTTTTAGTTAGAATTAAGGTGGATTTGGTTTATCTCATCCTTCTGAAATCTTGTCTACATTAACTTCACATGACTTCATAAAATGTCTGTGATTCACTTGGTCAGTTTGTTTTTGTTTGTTTTCATCATAATGGTGACAAATATCTTATTGAGTCACTGGGTCAGCCAAGGGTCACTGCCACCATGACATACCCCCATTCTCTGTGGTGTGCTTAAAGAGCTAATTTATATTAGGTTTTAGAATTTCTCCATGTCCTGTAAAGCTTTCCAGGAAGATTTTTTTGTAATATGGCAGCTACAAGAGCCAATGCTATTTGAAGACTCATCAAGATAGGCCAATAGGTATTCTAAAGCCAGGCAGGTAATAGTCACATTGGACTCTGCCCTGGTCAGGACATATTTGGAATTTTGTGTTCAATTCTGGGCACCAATTTTAGCTAGGAAATTGAAAAGGTAGACAATATCCCAAGGAGGGCAAACAGGAGAGAAAAAGGGTTTGATATCATTCCATAATGGGATTGGATATAGATAAGGGGGATCTTTAATCTCAAAAATTATAAGACATTGGGGAGACATGATTGCTAGTGTTCAGATACTTTGAGGACCATCTGCCACATTGAAGTGAAATGAAACTCGGTCTTCTATGCTCAAAAAGACCAAACTAGCCCCAGTGGGCAGAAGTTATCAAGAGAAAGATTTAGGTTTGATGTAAAGACTGATTTCCTAAGACTTAAAGCTGTCCTAAAGTGCAGTGGAATACTATGGTAGGTAGGGAATTCTCCATCACTGGTGTGTCTCAAACAAAAACTAGATGGCTACTTGAAGTTTGATCATATAGGAGACTCTTTTTCAGATATTGGTTAGACTAGACAGCCATCGAGGACTCTTCTAGCTCTTGAGTTTCTCTGATTCCCTTACAGAAATTCAACTTAACAAACACATTTATGCCTGCCATGTTCAAGAAACTGGACAAAATTAATGCAGGAAATTGCTTACATTTTAAAAAAGGCAGAATCCAAGATGTTCTGAGCACTCTTCATTGGCCAGAAAGTTTTTGTGTTGCCTTAGATATTTCAGCACGTGGTGTTGCATTATGTTTGTCTTTATTCTCTTGTGCCCAAGGTAAACCAAATTGGTGATGCCATTTATAGTGTGCCATGGAGCCTGTGACAAGGATACTTATCACTTAAGTAAATAAGTTTGAGAGTTGCAGTGTAAATATGGCTCAGCCTACTTTATTTGTCTGTCATGGAGATTAGTAGGACATGTGGTTTGAAAAAATTACAACTGGAGGAGAAGAACTTCCAGTCTAATAATGCTTTATATTCTTTGTGAGTCTAATATGGTTCACTGTCTTTGAGACTTTGCTCAATCAAGTTTGATTTGTCCTTTCCAGGGTGACTCTTTCAGCACTATCGAATCGAAGTAACTGCTGATTAATTCCTTCCTTTCCTATTTTGTGTCTCCATTTTCTTTTTTTCCTACAGGATGTTTTCACACCTGAGTGCAAATTTAAGGAATCTGTCTTTGAAAACTACTACGTCATTTATTCTTCTACACTTTATCGTCAGCAGGAATCAGGGCGAGCTTGGTTTCTGGGACTCAATAAAGAAGGTCAAATTATGAAAGGAAATAGAGTGAAAAAAACCAAACCCTCATCACACTTTGTCCCTAAACCCATTGAAGGTAAGCGAACCCTCCAACTTTTTCTCTTGGTGTTGTTGTTATTGTTGTTAACTCTTCATTAAAAATAATTACTCTTCATTCCAGAGATGGTAGTCACTCCATAGTCACCAAGTCGACTGTGGAAACCTACCAGAAATCCTGGGTCTGAATTCTGATTCTGCTATTTGCTACTTCTCTGATTGTCGACAAAGTATTTCACCCCTTGGTTTCTCCATCTGTAAAATGAAGGAGTTGGGCTAGAGCTGCTCCCAGCTCTCAACTTGAGAATTTCTGATCCTTTGACAATGCCCCTTAGAGCTGGAGTTTGTGTCTCCTTTCCTGTTCCCTGTGAAAAGGAAATATGGGACAGCCCTATTTCAGGGCCTTTGGAAGATTCTCAAATGATCGAACTCATCGCAAAATATAAGAGGAAGTGGAGAGGTAACACAGAATTGGAAGTTCCTGATAATCTTGTTCTACAGATGAACATTGAACCTTTTAAATTGGATTGTCTCCTTTTCTCCACTAGATGACATGATGTTCTCATCTAGTTCCCTATTCATTCTCAGACAAGAATCTTTGCATTTTTATTGAAGAAAGTGATGACTTTCAGGGAAAACCTGACACATTCCCTAGAGATGTATTCATTTTCCTTTGCACTTTTCAAGAAAGAAGTGGTGCATGGCTAGCTTTGAAAATTCTTATTGTTTTGTAACTTCCGTGAAGATCTTCTAGCATACAATTCTAATTTTGCTTGGTCACCAAAATCTGGTTCTTGGCTATCCCGGTTGTGTATAAATTTCTGCAGAAACAAAACTTCCATTACCTGGCAACCTGGATTTCTTTTTTAATTTTCATTAAAATTGCCTTCTGTTGTGAAGTCAAATCAAATTACCTTTGGCATTAGTTACATTCTTTCCTTATTTCAAGTCTTTCCAATTCAAGCAAAGGATCATTCAATCTTGAGACCCAGAGCTGGAAGGGACCTGATCGGATATCTAACCCAACCCCTTCACTTAGGAAAGGAGAAAATTTAGTCCTTGAGAAGGAATGTAAGCCACAGAAACAGTAAGAAGCCAAAGAACAGAGAGCTCATCCATAGCTTCTCTGATCCCCCAATCGTTATACTCTACATTTCACCAAGAGCCATTAACACAAGGTGTCAAGTATATGGATGACTCAACAATCAAATACCATTGCTTTTGGCTCATTCTGTTCTTAAGTCCTTTTCCCTGGAAATGAATGACCAAACTAGAGTCTCCATATTATAGCTAAATAAAGAAAGGTATTTCAAAGTTAGGATACAAATACTTAAAGCCTAATAGGACAATGATAATAAGATGAATAGGAGAGTCAGCAGAGGCACTACAGATAAACCTATGAAGTTCTAGGCTTAAATCCTGACTTAGATATTTAACTAACTGTGTGATTCTGGCAAGTCACTTAAATTCTCAGGGCCTCAGTTCCCTCCCTTGTAAAATAAAGACAGTAACATACCTATTTTATAAGGTTCTTGTGTGGATAAAATTAGGTAGTATCTGCAAAATGTCTCTCAAACTTACACAGGACTATGAAAATGTGACTTTATATAATGATAATGAGCAGAATACATATGTTGAATACATATGGTTCCTCAGTCTGGGAAGCTACAGAGATGCCTGAGGTCACAGTGATCATACATTTTCTAAATAAGCATATCTGTCTAAATAGAAGCAGCCTTCTAATTTTTCTATTTGATCCAGTTTAGGGCATGTTGAACTCAAAGTTCTTTTGAACCATTAAAGTTAAGTCAAGTCTACAAGCATTTCTGATCACCTGCTTCATATCAGGTACCCAGATCAATGCTAAGGGTTCAAAGAAAGTCAAGCCAAACCAAACTAAAGTAAAGACACACACACACCAAAAAATACGCTGCCATCAAGCAATTTGGAGTATGATAGATATAACAAAGGAGAGATAACAAGCCAATAGGAGGGCAGAAATCTGGGGGGAAGTTGGGGCTTAGATGCCTAAAATAGGAAATCACAGATATTGTCATTGAAGCCACTGGAGGAGATGAGACTGGCATCTGACAGAACATATATTCAAGATCACAATCTAAAGGGGTACCCATATTTGGAGAGGAAGGGGAAATATTTGATGTCTGTTAATGAGAACAACCAATCAGAGACTCTATTAAACCTGGAATGTATACTATGACTTTTAAAAAAATGTATATATATATATATATATATACACATTATATATACATATATATATACACATTATATATACATATATATGTATGTATGTATGTATGTATGTATGTATGTATGTACATATCACTGCACATCATTATGTTTGGTTTCCTTTGTGATATTCTGTATTTTATTTTATGCATTGAAAAAAATATTTTGAGAAAGGGTCTATAGACTTCACCAGACTGCTGAAAAAGGGATTTGTCTGTCTGTCTCTGTCTCTGTCTCTGTGTCTGTCTGTTTCTGTATGTGTCTCTTTTCCTCTCTCTCTCTCCCTCTTTGTCTCTCTGTCTATGTCTCTCTGTCTCTCTGTCTCTGTCTCTCTCTGTCTCTGTCTCTCTCTGTCTCTCTATCTGTCTGTCTCTCTCTCTGTGTCTGTCTCTGTCTCTGTGTCTCTCTGTGCCTCTGTCTGTCTATCTGTCTGTTTATGTGTGTCTTTCTCTGTCTCTGTCTCTCTCTCTGTCTCACACACACACACACACACACACACACACACACACACACACTCTCTCTCTTAGGAAACTGGCTAGAAATCCTGTTCTCGTTGTTTACTCCTAAAGTTCATTGCCTCTTTTAGCTGTTGCCATGGCTCTCTTACACGTGGAGGGAATGAGGAAATTTTCTGTCTTTTAAAATGCCAGAGCAAGGCCATGGCTTAAATAGCTTTGATGCTGTCCTCTCAATATTTCACAGTGAGTGTTCTAGAGAGTCCCAAGGGGATATAGAAGTTGGGAAGCATATATGAGGCTAGTTGACTTAAAATTACATAAAACAGTTTGAAAGGATCAAGACTCATGCTTTTCCTCCCTGAAGAAAAGTAAAATATGAGAAGTGGTTCAGTTCCTAATGTGTGTTTGTCTCCTTGTATGGATTTCAAAGTATCAGCCACTTTTGAGGTTCCTATTGGGATTTTTATAATTTGAGATTATCAATATTATTAAGATAAACAGTGTGACTTTCTCTTTGCCTTTGAAATTATAATCTGATCAGTTTAGGAAGCTGTTACAAGATCCAACTGAGAATTTCTGAACTGATGATCGCCCAGTATAGAGTCTATGGAAATTTGAACCCCAATGATTGAGATTTCCTTACAGCATCTGTGTTCTCTTTGTTCTTCTGCTGATCATCTTTCTTCTCCTTCTTCTTACAGCCACACTTGACTCACCATTTCATTTTTAAATCTGTTTATGCACACATATATAATATGTAAATATGTTTATACTTACCCTGCTAAATATTGGGCCAGTAAATATTTTGAACCCAACACTCACCACTTAGAGAATGTATTGCTACATGGAAGGAAAACATATTATCATTGTCATCATCATCATCTTCTCCTTCTCCTTATTCTTGTCATCCTTTTCCCTTTCTTCTACTACTCTTTTCCTCCTTCTCCTTCTTTTCCTCCTCCTTTTCCTTCTTTTTTCTTCTTCATCTTGTCTCTAGCTAGGCTTTACTTTCAGGATGATTTTCCAACTTGGTCTTTTAAACAATACAAAATAGCCACAAAGTGCAGACATTCTGACAATAGAAATGCCAGACATGTAGAAAGTAAAGTGACTTGCTAGAGAGATAGGTGCCTTCTTGATAGATTTCCAGAATCTTTTTTCTTTACTATAAGGAAAGGAAAGGACTCCTTTACTTTTTAGAAGAAAAGTGAGATATCATCAGTAAGGGAAGAAAAGTAGCTTGACAAGCTAGCTTACAGAGTGACAGAACAATTAGGCCACTAGGGAAAGCATCCTGGATTTGTGTATAGATTGTCAACCTCCAGATCCAACCCTAAAACTGCTTATCTCACTAGACAGATTGTACACTCCATGGGAACAAAGGTGACTCAGGGTTTGGGGAAAGGATTGGTTTTTCCCCTTTAGTTAACAATACTTTCTCTCTTAATTGGTGAGTATGGTATACAAAGAATTCATTAGCAAAATATTTAGCAGGGAATCTCTTTATCTACATTTAGGAAGGAAATGACAAACACACATTACTATAACCAAGAGGAGTTTACATACTTTATTTTTCCATTTATGATTAGGTGTATTGAACAGAAAAGCAGAGATTAGGGCATTTTAATAAAGGACCAAAGAAGCATAAAGATCATTATGTTCATTGCAATGGTGGGAAGAAGTGCAGGTGAGGACAATCCTGTGCTCCCTCTCTAAGAGCAAAGTTACTTGAGAATGTTCTGTCCTTCATAAAGAAAAGGAAACTTATGCTAAAGCTTCTAAATATAGGGTTAAGATGTTTCCCCCAAGTAGAAGGTTTATCCGTTCACTTTTATCAAACTGTATATTCTCCTGAACTATCAGAATAGGCTCCTAATTGATACCTCTGCCCAAAGTGTTTCATTTGTCCAGTCCATCCTCTCAACCACTTTCTAAGTGATCTTCCTTAATTGCATGTCTCACCATAACCAATGATGATAATCATAATATTAATAATAGCATTTATATAACTCTTTAAGTTTTACAAAGTGCTTTACAATATTATCATCTGTACTATCTCTATCTCTATGTCTATATGTATGTATGTATATGTATGTGTATGCTGTGTGTATATATCTATCTATATGTATAGCTAGCTATCTATATCTATAGATATCTATATATAAATGTGTCTACCTATCTATACATACATGAGTGTATCTTTAAATTCAAGCCTGTCAGGAAATAAAGTAATTAGGAGTAAAGGAAAACTGACAGCTTATCTTTCCCCACATCAAGACTTCTTGAAAAGAAGGGAGGTTTAAGAAGCAGTTCAACTCAATGTAGAGTGACAGTT